GCTAAGGAAATGGAACTTCTCCCACCAAAATAGAGTTAAGGATATTTTTCAAACAAAAGTTTGTGCATGCATGCAAATGTGTGTACTATGGAGAATATTCCCCATGACAGTCTAGTGGGAAGGAAAACATGAAATGCTCTTCAAACAAACTTCCTTTTTTGACATGCACTCACAATCTGAATCATCCCATTACAACATTTAACTAGCTTGGCTTGAGAGATGTGAAAATGAAGTTTCCCTGTTGTCACATCCTCAGTCATGTCAGATTATAGCTTCTGAGGTCATGTCCATACTTCAGCAGCCTTTATATTTGATGATTAAATCGTTATTTGTTATTTTAGGAATACTCTGTCTTTGTAACTAACAACAACCTCTCAGTTTTGCATAAGATGTATCCCCTGTTGGCACTTTAAAATGGTCTCTTTTATTTTTGGAATTAAAGGGTCACTTTTTAATTCCTGAATTGTATAGTTCAGCATCAGTTCAGTTCAGTTCAGTTCAGTCGCTCAGTCGTGTCCGACTCTTTGCAACCCCATGAATCGCAGCACACCAGGCCTCCCTGTCCATCACCAACTCCTGGAGTCTACCCAAACCCACACCCATTGAGTCGGTGATGCCTTCCAGCCATCTCATCCTCTGTCGTCCCCTTCTNAAACAAGCACAGTGGTATTTTTAATATAAGATAAATATCTGTCTTCTGGAAAACTATACTTCATATCTACACAGACAGATCATCTTGTTCAAACAATGGTCATAATAAAAATTAACTCTAAAATCTTCAAATAGGAGAAACGGCTTCAAGCAATTCCAGGGAAATTGGACCCAGTTTACATCCCACTCTAAAAAAAACAAAAAAAAAACAAAACAAAACAAAACAAAAAAAACCACCTCTTAACTCTGTTACATCTTACTGTTATAAATTCACTTGCAATCAGTTCTTTAATAAAGCACCTTTCATGTTAAACCCGTTCATTTACAGAAAAAACTTCAGGTATTGTGTGTGTAATCTAACACTTAAGTAACTTTTTCTTTAAAAACTGTGCAAAATGGTTTGTAGATATTAAGTGCCACATCATTCAGCACTATTTTTTAGTATGTTAGTCTTTGTTAAGTTACACTTTAAAAGTTACCAGTGGTTTGGAGTCCGCCTTGCAATGCACAGGACACCGGTTCGATCCTGGTGGTCCAGGAGATGGGAGTCTGCCTTGCAATGCATGGGACACCAGTTTGATCCCTCGTCCGGGAAGATTCCACATACCTCAGAGCAGCTAAGCCCGTGAGCCACAACTACAGAGCCTGCAGGCCCCAGAGCTCTTGCTCTCTAACAAGAGGCCACCACAGTGAGAAGCCTGCGCACAGCAGCCTCTGCTCACTTCAACAAGAGAAAGCAAGTGCAGTGACAAAGACCCAGAGCAGTCAACAAATAAATAAATACTTAAAAAAAAAAAAAAAAGTTACTTACTGCTCTGGAGACAGACACAAGTTTATTCATGAATCAGGAAATGACTTCCAAGTATCTTTCACAATTTAGGCAGCTGAAAGCATTTGCTTTTTCTAACCACTCCCAAGGTCTTTTACACTACTACTGGACCAATTCTTTGCATCCCATCTAACCAGACAAAAAATTATAGCAACAACTGAACATTCTGAATCCAGCTTCCTTTATTTTCATGAAAATACACACCAAAAGTCACTTCCCTCTAATTATTCATAAGATTGATTTTTTGTCAAATTTTCAGATTTCACAGAAAAGTGAATAGCTTTACTTTTTATTACAGTTGACTCTATTTTCCACATAAACATACATTTTTATTTCAAAGAAGGAACTGAAAAAAGAAAACCATAGCCAGAACCACTGGGCAAATGATGTTACAAGCTTTGCAACTGCACTGTTAATAGCTATGTCTCGTATATACTCTTGAAACAGAAATACATTAATATTAGATTATCAACCCTGAAATCTGATTTTTTACAGAACTAAATTCTCCTAGATGATAATAACAATGAACATCTTTGCTATTTATTAAATACATGTGTGCATATACGGAAGCTTTGGATTCAGACTCTTCAGCAAATGTTACAAAGTTTTACCAGAATTTAGTAATGCAATGGGTTTTCCATAAAGACTTTATGGGCTAAGATGTGGTCTTTTGCTGGGAGGTGTTTCATCTTCCTCTTCTTCTTCATCATCTGAATAATCCACTAAGGAAATCACGCTTCTGCAGTTTGGGTTACTTGCTCCATCAGCAGCATCAGCAGACTGGGATGAAGTAACTTTGAAGTCACCAAAAGATGTTTGGGAGGGAGTATCTACCTTGTCTTCATTTTCTTTTGCTTTTTCAGTCTCAAAATAATCTTCAAAATCACTTTCTGGTGGTGGCTTAACTGCTTCTTCTTTTACATTTTCATTAATACTCATTTCCTCCTCCTCCTCTATGACACTGGAACCTCTGCAAAATATTTTACCATAAAATACAGAACGCAAATTCTTCCCTACTTGATTTTGCCACTCTTTCTCTTGCTCATATTTCACCTTCAATCCTTTGAATGTCTGAACATATTCAATTGACTTAAGTGTTGCATAAAACTTTTCAACTATATGGGCAACAAGAGATTTGATGTTTTCCATTCTTATGTAGTCAAACAGTTCAACAATAGCTGAATTCAGCATATTGTACCGAGTTCCATTCTTTAGAAGGGCATTTACAACCGGCTCAAAAAAATTTCCCTCGATGATATAACGATTTAAAAGTTCATCTGTAAGGCCAATCATCCTTCTCATAAAACGAAGAGCACACAAGTTTAGAAAAGTGTGCTTTGAATTTAACAAGATCAAGACTTTTCTTAGCAAGTCTTTGTCCAAAATATATTTTTTCATGTAATATGCATGATGTTGCACACAAAATGAAAGCAGATCTAAAATTAAGGCAAGCAGCTGTGCTGTGTGGTAATTATTGAGACAGTTTTTGTTGTTTTCGTCAGATCCAACTATATTATCCTTGTCACGGATATATTCTGAAGTAGTTGACAAAAGTGGTGCTAAGAAATTATGCATACAATGCTTAAAGAAGAACTGTAGAAATTCACTTTCACAACAACGACAAGATGTTGTCATGTTACTTGGATCAAGCAGGTAACGAAGAATTCCCATTAAATGAAAAGCACTTCCTAGCTCAGGGTCAGTATCACAGAATATTTGTTGAATTACTAAATTAATGAAAAGGATGCTGTCTTCACTATGTTGGTCTTCTATTATAAATTCTCGAATCATGGATGGACTATACTCTACCAGATAAGTAAATATATCAGTAGCAGCTGACCTTATTTGCAAGTCATTCATACTCATTAACATTTTAAGAGCAGGAAGAATTCCCAGTTCTGTCAGTGTTTTGAATAGTGCATCCCTGTTTTCAGAATGTAATGTCTGAGAAAATGCACAGAATTCCTTGAAAAAAAATAACAGTTCACGCCATGTATCATCATCTGTAGTCTTATCCCTTAACTGTGCAAAAACGGTGGACAAAAACTTGTCATCTTCCTGCAGCATATTGACTATCGCACCCTTGTTTGATGAAATAAAAGTTGTAAGAGCAGAAAGAAAATTCTCTTCAAATATAGATGGGATAGGAGAAAGGATGTCGTGAATGTACTGTACCCTGTATGTCTGATGTATTTTTTGCAGAAGTTCATGGTCTATTATTGGTATAACTTCTTTGAACTTCACTTTTTGGGTTAAGAATTCTCTATGCCTTTTTGGTTGAGCCAAGGCAGGGTCATATTCAAGGCATCCCACCACATCCATGATATACTTATCAGAAAAGAGGATCTCAAGCAGAGATGCCTTGTTGAGAAGTAACATCCCTTTAACAATGTCATGCAGATCGTGTAAGCTTTCAGTATCCTCTAGGTCCTCACAAGTGTGGAACAACTGCAGTAATTTTTTAATAAAGTCCTCATTTCCCAATAACAGAACCAGCCTTTCCTTATGCAGAGATGAGGTGAGAGCTGAGGCAATTAAGTGAGCAATCTGGTGAAGATTACCCAGTTCACAGTCAGGCAGCTCAAGCACTTCATAAGTCTCTGCCACGTCATCCAATGTCTCATCTTCGGATTCAACTAAGGCGTCATATGTGGTATCGGCAGATGGGTCCTTACCTTGAACCTGGCAGATGTCTTTCCATATCTCATAACATCTTGCTGCGTCCGGGAAGCTTATCGCCATACCGTTGTTCTCAGCTTCATACCAAACAATTAATGTCTCTTGTTGTCTCTCATAGGGCGTGTCTGGCTTTATCTTTGACTCCAAGATCTGTAAGCCGTCAGGTTCAGATCGAACTAGCAGACACATGCCCTGAAGGCGTTCCACATAAATAGTGGAGACATGTCCCTTGCCTAGAAGTTCCCATTGTTGGTCATCATTCAGGGAAAAAAGTTTCGCTAGGCTCTGCTCGTCCACCATGGCAACCTTCGCTCTCTTCACCCTGGCCCTTGTCTTGGCCCGTGATCGTGTCTCGCGAGAGTTCACGGTTAACGGCAGCTGGAGTTGTGATGGCAACGACGGTAGCCGCTGAGGTAGCTGGTCGGAAAAATTGCAAGAAAACATGGCAGATAAGTTGAGGCCACAGGGATTCCGGTGGCACCTCAAATCAGTAAGGTTTCCCTGCAGTTCCACTACTCACTACCATCCCTTGCTCCCCTCCTTCCACTCTGCCCCCCCACCCCCCATAACGCTTTATTAACACGAAATGAAGAACTGAGCCTCTGAGCCTGCTTGTGGCTATCTATGATAGCCTTGATAATTATGACTCCTCCAGGATTCTACTCCGAAGGAACATTCTCTGCTTGTAAATGCCGCCAAGCTTATGGAGGCTTAGGAAGGCGAGCAAAGAGCAGTTTTTTCCATAAAAGGTTCTGTCCTCCATTAACATTTTCACTCATCATGTGTGTGGGAATGGAGACTTAGGACCTTAGACAAAAGAAAGCTTAATCACTTACATCCCAACCAAGTCAACACTTAACACTCTGTCAAGAAAATACACGTCCCTCTGCCATAGGTGCTATGCCCCCTCCCAGTGGTACTCCCCCCTCTCCTCACAGATGGTACACCCCCTCCCCTCATAGGTGATATGCCCCCTCCCCTCATAGGTGGTATGCCCCCTCTCCTCCAAGGTGGTACACCCTCTATGCCCCACCCCAAAGATGGTATGCCCCCTCTCCTCATAGGTGGTACAGTGCTCAGTCGCTCAGTTGTGTTGGACTCTTGCGACCCTATGGACTGTAGCCCACAAGGCTCTCTGTCCATGGGATTCTCCAGGCAAGAATACTGGAGTGGGTTGCCATAGCCTTGTCCAGAGAATCTTTCCAACCCAGGGATTGAACCCCTATCTCTTACACCTCCTGCATTGTCAAGCGGGCTCTTAACCACTAGAGCCACCTAGGAAGCCCAGCCAATGTCAGTATCACTCACTTACCCATCCTTGAAAGAGAAAAGTGAAGTCGCTCAGTCGTGTCGGACTCTTTGCGACCCCATGGACTGCAACCTACCAGGTTCCTCCGTCCATGGGATTTTCTAGGCAAGAATTCTAGAGTGGGTTGCCATTTCCTTTTCCAGGAGATCTTCCTAACTCAGGTATTGATTTTAACCCTGGTCTCCCACATTGTAGGCAGAAGCTTTACCATCTGAGCCACCAGGGAAGTCCTACCCATCCTTGGGAGAGGCTATTGTTCCAAGAGGGAGTTGGCAACTGATTCCTTTACCCTGTTCAGTTCAGCCTAAAGCTCTTTCTTTTAGCACAACAAGGAAAAAAATTCCTCAAATTTCCCCAATCTATAACCACACTACTTATTCTTAGGGAAAGAGTGGGCCAGTGGGAAACTGAGTTGAAGGTAGCCAGAAGGAGTAGCAAACACCACAAATCAATTGTTCTTATTTTCTTAATAATTATGGTAATAACAACAACCACAATAACTAAGTAACAATACTTGACTGCTTATTATTTATAAAGAAAGGTAATAACAAAATTGATCAAGTACTTTAGTGATTATTATATTCAAGATACTGTAACAACATTTATATATTTTCATATTTAATTTTAATAATAACCCAGTGAAACAGGAGTACTAAGTGTCCTTTTGAGGCCAGGAAACAAAATTAGAGAAGTTAACTTGCCAAAGATCATATGGCTAATAATAAGTTGAGGAACTCTGAACACATCTTTCTGATTGAAATATTGGTTTTCTCAGCCATTGAACTATGCTATCCCCTGCTTTTCTTGGCCTTCATTACACTTTATTTTACACTCCTTCCATCTATATAATTTGTAATCAACATAAAATTATCAAAAGAAGATGAAAGGCACGCACTTCCTCCTTTAGATTCACATCTGTGTATAGCCAATGGAAAATAGAAGCTTGTATATGGCAACTGTTAAATATAATTTTAATAGTAACCAATTTGATTTTTGATGTAGCAGCAACTTCTGCAGTTTTCTTTAAAAAATTCTTCCCCCCCCCCAAAACATTAACCCTGTTATTGCAAAGGAGAAACTGAGAATTGGGCCATATCAAGCAAATTTGTAATTGAAGAGTCCTATTTGTAACAATTACTTCATTTTACATATTAATAACATTGGACATGTGTGGCAATTCTCAAGTAGAGCACAGAAATACTCTTCCACACACCTCTCTTGCAATGTAGCCTCCAGGAGATTACTGTACAAGAGTATTCCCTGGAACAGTACAGCTGGGGCTCTTGGAGGACTGAATACAAAGAACAATCATTTCATGAGAAAATTCAAATCACTGCCAGGATACTGCTGCTTTAGAAACATTTACAAATTATAAATAATACTTAAACATAAGAACTCAAAAATGACTAATACAAAATTGACATGTGTACTAGTTAAAAACTCCTCCTGCCTTATTTCAATAAAAGAGAATATGCAAATATATAACAACAACAATGATGCTGGGCCATGCTAATGGTCCAGTTTTTTTTCACTGCTGTGGTTATATTAAAGTTTCTCTAAGAATCAATTGTAATACTGGCAACTGTCTGAATATGCCCCCAGGTTCCATTCTCTGAGAGATATTCAGCACAAATCTATGTGTTCTCACAAAGTTTCCCTTAGGCCAATTAAGGTCCCTTTATCTTCCCTAGTAGCTCAGATGGTAAAGTGTCTGCCTACAATGTGGGAGACCCAGGTTCAATCCCTGGGTCAGGAAGATCCTCTGGAGAAGGAAATAGCAATCCACTCCAGTACTCTTGCCTGGAAAATTCCAAGGACGGAGGAGCATGGTAGGCTACAGTCCAGGGGTGGCAAAGAGTCAGACATGACTGAGCGACATCACTTTCACTTTCTATATTAATTAGGCTAACTAGAATCTCTTTACAATCTAAAAGAGCCTGAAGTTCAAATGTCTTACTGCTGTTTTGGCAGTTGATTCTTTCAGTTCCTGTCTTATTTGGTTTGAGAAGTAGAATAATGCCCTTGAATGACAATCCACTCCAGTATTTTTGCCTGGAGAATTCCATGGACAAAGAAGCCTGTTGGGCTTCAGTCCATGGGATCGAAAAGAGTCGGACATGACTGAGCAACTAACACTTTCACTTGCTTCAGTAGTTTTAGCTATTTAAGGTTATTATTATTTGTGTGTGTATGTTTTGTTGTTTTACGGAGAGCAAGGTAATATGAATAAACAAATGTCAGATTCCAGAAGCTGTGTAAGTTCCTTTTATAGGTATTATTTATCTTTTATTTAATCCTCATACAATAATGGCCTGAAGAAGGTATCATTACTACCATATTAGGGAGAGAAAAAAACCTGAAACTACCAAACTGAATCAAAGATTTGGTTCAAACCTCTACAATAAATGATGATGCTAGGATTTGAAAGTAGGCCTGTATAGTTCTGACCCTCCACTTTACTATTCCCAATATGCAATGCTTTCTCTTAGGCATTGTCACAGCAGCAGATGTTTATAATGTGGAGGAAAAATGCCACCTGCCATATCACTAACCAAAGGATGTTGTGGCCTTTACACCAGCAGCCACTACAATCACCCCTAATTGTGCACCCTGAGGGGATCAGGATGGAGAAAAACAGGAACCTGGCTGCATATACCTGAGGTGTATATCAAAGGAATGATTTCAATGAGCCCAGACTTTTGCATCTTCCCCTACACAGAAAAGTGCTAAATTCCTTAACTGGAGATGTCTGGTTTTCTTTAATTAACAGTAATCTTTTGATGTTCTGACTCCCTGGCTTTTGTGGCAGAACTCCTGTATATGTTGGCTCCTCCCTTATCTGCAAACAGGTTTCTTTTTTTTTTCCATTTATTTATATTAGTTGGAGGCTAATTACTTTACAAAAGTGTAGTGGCGTTTGCCATACATTGATATGAATCAGCCATGGATTTACATGTGCTCCCCATCCTGAACCCCCTCCCACCTCCCTCCCCACCCCATCCCTCTGGGTCATCCTAGTACACCAGCCCTGAGCACTTGTCTCATGCATCAAACCTGGACTGGCAATCTGTTTCATAATTGATAATATACATGTTTCAATGCTATTCTGCATAAAGGTTTCTTAAGAGACAGGTAACATTCATTCTCTGGTATTTCCATCTCTTTAAGAATTTTGCACAGTTTGTTGTGATCCACACAGTCAAAGGCTTTAGCATAGTCAATGAAGCAGAAGTTGATGTTTTTCTGGAATTCTCTTGCTTTTTTGATAATCCAACAGATGTTGGCAATTTGATTTCTGGTTCCTCTTCCTTTTCTAAATCCAGCTTGTGAAGTTCTCTGTTCATGTACTGTTGAAGTCTAGCTAGAAAGATTTTGAGCATCCCCTTGCTAGCATGTGAAGTGAGTGCAACTGTAAGGTAGTTTGAAAAATCTTTGGCATTGCCCTTCTTTGGGATAGAAATGAAAACTGACCTTTTTCAGTCCTGTAGCCACTGCTGAGTTTTCCAAATTTGCTGGCATATTGAGTGCACCACTTTAACAGCATCATCTTTTAGGATCTGAAATAGCTCAGCTGGAATTCTATCACCTCCACTAGCTTTGCTCATAGTGAGGCTTCCTAAGAGCCACTTGACTTCACACTCAAGGATTCCTGGCTCTAGGTGAGTGACCATATCATTGTGGTTATCTGGGTCATTAAGACCTTATTTGTATACTTTGTGTATTCTTGCCACATTTTCTTAATCTTTTCTGCTTCTGTTATGTCCTTGCTGTTTCTGGCCTTATTGTGCCCATCTTTGCAGGAAATATTGCCTTGGTATCTCCAATTTTCTTGAATAGATCTCTAATCTTTCCCATTCTATTGTTTTCCTCTGTTTATTTCTACTGTTCCTTTAAGAAGGCTTTCTTATCTCCCCTTGCTATTCTCTGGAACTCTGCATTCAGATGGGTATATCTTTCCCTTTTTCCTTTGTCCTTTGCTTCTCTTCTTTTCTCAGCTATTTGTAAGGTCTTCTCAGACAATCACTTTGCTTCCTTGCATTTCTTTTTCTTGAGGATGGTTTTGGTCACTGCCTCTTGTATAATGTTACAAACCTCCATCCATAGTTCTTCAGGCACTCTACCTGATCTAATCCCTTGAATCTACTTGTCACCTCCACTGTATAACCATAAGGGATTTTATTTAGATCACACCTGAATGGTCTAGTGGTTTTCCCTACTTTCTTCAATTTAAGCCTGAATTTTGCAATAAGGAGTTCATGATATGAGACACAGTCAGATCTTGGTTGTTTTTGCTGACTGTATAGCGCTTCTCCATCTTTAGCTGCACAGAATATAATCTGATTTTCGTATTGACCATCTTGGTGATGTCCATGTGTAGACCTATCTCTTGTGTTGTTGAAACAGGATGTTTGCTATGACCGGTGCGTTCTCTTGGCAAAGTTAGTCATACATTTCTGAATTTTAGTTATTGGTGACTCAAACCACATATATAGAACACTTAGATATCTAAATATTCTATCTATAAGAGGAGAGAATATTTCAGAGTGGGAAAAGCAAGGTTTTTTTAAATTTTATGAAATAACATTCAAATACAAGTATTCAAGTGTATCCACTCTAAAATTTTCAATTTCAAAACATTAGTGAAAAACACATGCATGTTCTCTACAACTTCTCCAGGTAACTTATTTAGTAGAATGTTGCCTTTTTGGCACCATCATTTCTGATTTGGCAATCTGTAACGATCTTCTCCCCTAGCTTCTGTTTTTTTCTCCCAACTATATTAATAGTATGTTCTCCACACAATGGATGCACAGAGTGGATCCATTTAAAACACATCATATCCTCACACACTTCTACACCAAATCAACATGCTTCCACCTCACTCAGAATAAAAACCCAAGTTCTAACTATGGTTTATAAGGCCCAACAAGACCTGACCCCCTTGACATGTGTGAGCTCTTCATTTTGTAGTCTCTCTCCCTTATTCTGCTCCAGCCACACTAGCCACCTTTCTATATCTGAAGTACACCAGGCAAACTCATGCCTCGGGTCATCTGTACCTGCCCTTTCCTTCTTCTGTCTGGAACACTATTTCTCAATATCTACAGGGCTTATACCTTTGCCTCATTCAAAACTTTATTCAAATGCTTAGTTTGTTGTTGTTGTTGTTGTTGTTTTTCATAAAGTGAAAGTTTGCTTACTTTTTATGTATCAGTTGGAGCTCCAGGTTATTGGACCTCTTGACTCCACACAATATTTTGTTATTCTTTTTAGTTCCCCAACCAGAGATTGAATCTGGGCCCTGGCAGTGCAACTGTCAAGTCCTAACCACTGGACCACCAGGGAATTCCCCAATGCTCTTTTTTTCTAGTGAGACTTTCCCTAACCATCTCTTTAAAATTGCAGAGACCTTCCATCCCAAGTTTTATCCATCCATTTTCTCCATAGCACTTAGCATCATCTATTTTATACTTTATTGTTTTTTTTTCTTTCTTTTGCATTCAGACTATCAGTTGTGTGAGGGCTGCGATTTATCTGTATTTTTTTCACTTCTGTGTGCCTAGGACCTGCCATAGGTCACAATACATAGTTGTTTCTCAACAATAATTTACTGAATAAATACATAAATGAATACACATCATTTCAAAGATGACTTCCAATAATTCATTTATTTATTCTTCACATTATTATATAACAACCTCCTATGTACAGGCCCTATACCAAGCACTGGGGATAAAACACTGAATTTGAAATTTATTTCCAGTCATCTCACAGAATAGATAGGTAGTTACAACAGGAGATATTTCAAATTTACAAGACACATCTAGCATTTCCCCTGCTACCCTAATTCCATTTTTGGGGATAGTTTTCTTTTTATTGATGATGACCAAAAGTAATATTCTCCTGTTTAGGCTTTTAATTGCATGAAAAACTTATTGAATAAGCCCTGATGTTTTCCTTTATGTTCTGCCAAACATTCTTCCCCCAACTCTGGGTTAAATCTCAGGTAGAATACAGCTTTGCAGTCAATAATTAGGTATTGAAAGAATCCTAATTTTCTAATATTAAAATCTCCAGCCCATTTCAAGCTTCTTTTTGGTTCATGTCTTATCCAAAGCAAGTCCATAGCCAAGCCTAGAGTTAGGGTGATGGGAAAGTATGCCCCAGCTAAGGCAGGGATCATAGCAAAATTGCAAAGCAAAGGGTGTGGGTAAAAGGAAGGATGAAGAATTGGGGGCATTTAATGCAATCTTCCACAAGCTTGGATAAGACAGCTGTAACTCAGAACTTTAACATGGAAAGAGGGATATGCATGAATACTATAATTATAGAATGTATGGATATTTACAAATTTTTATTCTCAGCTGAAAACAGCATCCTGTTGTGTGCATTGCTGGAGTAGCAGCTATTATCTTCCCAATGCTCAGAGGTAAGAACCAGTTTAAATATTTACTTGGATCCATAAGCAGTTTCTATTAGCAGTAACACATTCTTCACCATGTGCCTGGCTTCCTTGGAAACGCTAACATCTTTTGCTTATACATCATGGATTTAAAAGAGGGAAAAAGAAAAAGGGAAATGTATTCTTTGACTGTAAGTTCCATGCTCTCCTCTTTTTCTTTTATTTTAGTGTGTGTGTGTGTGTGTGTGTGCACGCGCGCGCGCATGCGCTCAGTTGCTCAGTTGTACCAGACTCTTTTGTGACCCCATGGACTGTAGTCTGCCAGGCTCCTCTGTCCATGGAATTTTCCAGGCAAGAGTACTGGAGTGGGTTGCCATTTCCTCCTCCAGGAAATCTTCCCAACCCAGGAATCACACTTAAGTCTCTTAGTCTCCTGCATTGGCAGGCAGATTCTTTAGTGCTAAGCCACTAAAGAAGCCCTCTGTTTCAGCAGTTACTTGTAAACTTTTTGGGTTTTGTTTCAAATTCCATAATTCATGGATTCCTCTTCTTGTCGAGATAGAACATGTTATTTCTTGTTTCTATCTAGATCTACAGGAATAACATTAGCTGTCAAGTTACTAATTACCTTGCAGCCATGTTATATAAGTAATGGCAATAAGCATAATTTGGAGCTAAAAGCTGCTCAGTTTGCTTACAGATAGTAATCATCTTCATTTCTTCAGTATTGCATTATATATACTTATATAATAAAACATACATTTTCACTTTGTAGGCAGCAATTAATTTCAACTTAACATTTTGGCCTTAATCCCATTAACATCTAAAGGCACGCCTTGAATATATTTGATTTTTATGAGATAACTGGATTGAGTTGGAAACAGAAAAAAAAGTGTTTTCATGATAAGAAAGGGAAAATCTTAAACACTTTGAATAATACTGATTTTGGATGTACTACTACTTGAAGTGTGAAGATCTGATTCATTCCTCCTGAAAAATAACCTTTTGTATTTTGCTACTGCTAAGTGGTCTGCTATCACTTCCTTAGGCAGGAGAGCTGGCATGGAGGTGTAGGGATGTATTTTTGAATGACATGATAACATCAATTAGAAAAATACCAAGCTTTTCTTTACAGTTACTTATAAGAAAGTCACCCCTCTCTTTTCTCATGCTCTCTTTCATTGCCTTATTTTAGTTTCTCAGCAGCACTTTCATAGTCTAGGGTTACTACTGTTGCAGCCACGTGTTCCAGGAAACAAACTCACTCAAAAGGACAATGCAGATAGTGGAGTGCAGTTTATTACACCAAAGGGCCCAAGGCAGAGTCTCCTCTTAGCCAAGGACCCCGACCAGTTTTTGTGAAAACCTTATATACCCTAAGTGTACATGCTCAAACCCACCTCCCCAAATTCTCTGAAACTAGTCTGAACAAAGGAAAAGAAAGATACAATCAATCAAAGTTAACCCATGATTCGTATGCCTCAAGCCTAAGTAGTTAACAGTGGTCAATTATCAATAGGCCTGTGGTCATACCCCAATAAGCATAATAGAATTTATGATTCTATTTGGTTACACAGATAATTGAGGTGTTCTTTTAGTAAGTACCAGCCCTGGGGCTCTTCCATCCAGGGGTCTTTTTTTCCAGTTGGTATGTCATTTCCATAGATACTGGGCATATAACTCAAAGTCCACTGTCCAGCTGTGGAGTCCTGCTTTCGAGATGGAGCCTGTTCTGTCTGTTTCCTCCTTCACTACGTCATTTGTTTACTTTTATTGTCTTATTCTCTATCCACTCTACTCCCCCAGCCCACCAAAGGCCAATATGGGTCTCAGACAGTCTTATTCTCCTCTGTATTGTATTGCCTAGAAGATTGATAAGCATTTAGTACATGTTTGATGAATGGGCACATGAAAGAATGTGTAATGATCACTCTTTCTATGTGCCAAAGAGACATGGATAACATTTGAAAGAAAACTTCTCATTAAGTGGATCCTCATTGAGATGTTACTGCCTGTCAGTGGGTTTGTGTTTTAGCCCTCCTAGAAGTTTACAGTCAGCTCTCCTTTTTCTACATTTGATAGTCTAATTATCAACACTTTCTTCTCAGCTCTTCCATTCTACTCCAGTTATCTTTCAGCAAAGATTTCATCTAATCCTTCACCAAGAGAATAGATACCAACCCAAGGCTCACCTTCCATTTTTAAACAATTTTATCTTATGTTTAGCAATTTCTGTCTCTTCTCCTTCCTTTGGGGAGTGAGCCTTCAGGTGGTGGTGGTGGTTTAGTTGCCAAGTCGTGTCCGACTCTTGCAACCTCATGGACTGTAGCCCGCCAGGCTCCTTTGTCCATGGGATTCTCCAGGCAAGAATACTGGAGTGGGTTGCCATTTCCTTCTCCAGGGGATCTTCCCGACCCAGGAATTGAACCCAGATCTTCTGCATTGCAGGTAGATTCTTTACCAAATGAGCTAACCTGTTAATCTGCACTTTACATATCATGCCCTTTTCTGGCTTTCTGAAACCTTATGCCACAAATTATTCTGTGATTTCAATCTTTAAACTCTGCCTCAGAATAATTTCTTTTCCCCCTTCAATTAAATGCATTCAAGTGTTTTCCATCTTAAAACAGTCAAACAGACTCTCAAAACAAGAATCACATTCATAAGTTTAGCCCTAACACTGATTACCCTAAAACAAAGGCAAAAATGTTTATGATATTCACTTCTTTGTTCCAAAGATGTAAAAAAGAGCCTGGTACATAGCAGACACACAATATAAAGATTCATTCATTAAACCAGCTCTTAACAATTGCTAATGTTTGCTTTGTAGCAGTTATCATTCCAAGTACTCCCTAGGTGCACTCACTTACTCCTCATAAGGTAGATATAATTATTAGTTTCACTTTACTGATCCAGAAACCGGGATACATCAAAAGTAAGTAATTTCTTCAAGGTCACAGATACCTTGCACTCAATCTCTAGACTTTCTGTCTCTCAGTTATAAACAGATAGTAGTACCTGCAGCAAGAGATGGATGGATGGATAGAAGGAGACATCTCTATCTTTCTATCTCTATTATATTAAATAGTGTTCAATCCTAGGTGGAAATAGTTCATTATAAAAATAATTAAGCCCCTCCTTATTTTATTAACTTCTGTTGCTTTAGTATGTGATTTCATTAAACAGACATTTTCAAGTTCTTTCCTAAACTTCCTTCTGCATGAGGACAACAATGTTAATAAATTTGCCTGAGTTTTCGTAGTGAATAATTTAGACTTGAACCCCAGTAGTCAGACTCAAGAATCTGTGCACTCTAAGCTCTTTGCCACACTGCAGGTCACCATTCTTTTTTCCTATTCTTTAAATGGATGCTGAAGCTATGTTATATATTTATGGTATACAATCATCATTAGAATCCTAATCATTTTTGAGACAAGCAAATATATGTCTATATCCCCCTTCCTATCCCTCACTCCCCTCTTTTTCTCTTTAATGGAAGGCACTGAGAACAATTAGATATATAGTGCTTTTACTTGGTCGTATCTCTTCCTTAAAGTATTTATTTGCCTCCCAAATAGAAACATTCTTATTGTAGGCATTATTTTTGCTTTAAAGAGAGATAAAGTTTACTTTTCATTCTCTTTCTCACACCTCTGATTGTATTAAGCTCCAACTGAAATACTTTCCTCTTCAGCCATATCTTGCCCCTTTTACTTTTTGCCTTTTTTTCCTCTCCATATGTCTTTTTTTCCTTTCTGTACTTCTTTCTACTTCGAACTCCTAAGAGATCCTTGTAAACGTAGGTTTTATAGCCATTTTAAAAATATCATTCAGTAGGATTATTCTTTGTACTAATTACATTATGGGACCTGCCATTAATTTTTCCAGTTACATCTCTTTTAATGCAGTTGTATATGGAGAGCGCCTTTTACAGTTTTCTATTTGAGGGTATGATACCTTCCTCTTCTCTCCCATGCAAACACATCCATCCCATTAACAGCTAGCGCTGGCTTACTTAAATGGCTGTATTAGCCTAAGTGGCTATTCCTTTTGCTTTAATTTTAGAGACCTCCAGGTAAAGAGATAACTTTTCATATAAATATTTTCTAATATCCTTCAGCATGTAGCAACAGGACACTTTCTTGCCTTTTCTCTTAAATATGCCTTATTATTTTAATTTCTTACTATTCTCCGTTCAATGGCAGAGGTAAGAATAAGGGTTCACATATACTGAATTGCTTTCTTTCATCTGAAGGTAAGTGTCAGTCTTCTTCAGGCCACACATCCCAATCTCACCATGGTATTTATGATCTCTTTTGTAACAGACTGTTAATTTGGCTTTTGGGGGGTTGCCTTTTGTCTCTTTACAGCAACTAACTCTAGTTGTATCTCTCAAAGAGAAATATTATTCTAACATACAGCAATTCCAAATATCTTTAAAGAAATCCTCCATTATTCTAAAATTATATATGCCTAATTATCCAGTCTCCATGTCATGTGTACTCAGTTTGCCTTCGGCAATATAAGTCTGTGTTTCACTTTAATTTGACAATGGAATAACGAAAAGGAAGGAATATGTGCCCCCCCCCCACTTTTGCAATATTCTTGAAGTTGCTCTGGGCATATACAGTAGTCTTTGCCATTTATTAAGAATAATCAGCAAAGGAAAGCAAAGAAAAATGATAAGACATATCCATTCCCTAGGGCTTTAATGTTCAGGCTCAACTTGAGTCCCAAGGGTATTTTAACACCTAAGTCCTCTGACTACAAATCTGTCCCTCAGGTCTTTTCAGTTATTTCAGGGAAGTGTCAGTTGCTTATGGTACAAGAAGCAATTATTCCCACGCAGAAAATAGTTCAAGGAAAGAAAGGAAGAAACCTAGTTAATGAAACAAGGTACTGAAAGAAGAAAACTCAAAGAGAAAATAAAGGAGCACATTGAAAAAAGTATAATGATGTATATTTACTATTTTATATTCAAAAGAGAAGTATAGATACAGTAACATATAGCTTTATTCATCTACATC